GAATTCTCAAGATCATTTTTTACTCTTTCCAGTTCAGCTTGGAGCTCCCTAGTTTTCTCAAGTTCAGCACACAGACTAGTTTTTACAGCTTTTAATTCATTTTCAAGATTAATGTGTGCCTCACTGGCTACTTCTTTCCCTTTTTCTAACTTTCCAGGCCTACACTCAGCTCCAGGTTCCTCTATTGTTTCCCTTAAGTCTGCAATTACTATTAAGAGGTCATCTCTCTCTTGCTCAATAGAAGTCATTTTCTCCACAAAGGCATCTTTTTCTTTACTGAATTTCTCAATGGGTTTTCAAGTCAACTACTACCACCACCAGATCATCTCTTTCATGTTCTACACTAGTAATTTTCTCAGTTAAAGCCTTCTTTTCATTTTCTAGATTGTCTATAGTTTCTTTTAGATCAACCACACACACTACCAAGTCATCTCTGGTTTGTTCAGCATCTCCTAATTCTATGGTCAAGGAATCCTTATCATCTATAAGACTATGATATGCATCAATCAATATATTTTCTAATGACATGAGTTTTTTAGGAGAGTAGGATTTCAAATTTCTCTGAACATCCCTGAATTTTACCTTATCATCTTCTTCATCGTCTAATTGTGCCATCGAAGCAAATATTGAATCATATTCATTTTCTCCACTTTCCACTGCCATCATAGAGTTATCACCTGCATCAGTTTCTTCATCAGACTCACTGGAGGAATCTCCTCATACTGCAAGAGCTTGCTTCACAACATTATCAGCGACATTTCTCTTGGCTACTTTATCAGGGTTGTATTTGAAGTGTTCTTGCTTTAAGAGAGGACACTTTTTGATAAAGTGCCCTGACTTTCCACATTTATGACAGAGGTCATAATTCTTTGATCTGCTGGAATTGCCTCTCTTTGGTATTCCCCCATTCCTTCTGACCATTTTCTGAAATCTTTTGGTTAGGTAAGTCATGTCGCAGTCTTCCTCACTTGAGTCATTTCCTTCAGCTTTGAGTACTAGGTTCTTCTCTTTCTTTGGTTCTCTTCTTTCACTGTCTATCTTCTTCTTCATTTCGTAGGTCATCAGATTTCCTACTAGCTTGTCTATGGTCAGCTCCTGCCAGTCATTTGCTTCATTGATAGCATTTACTTTACTCTCCCATAAACTAGGCAAGATACTAAGAATTTTCCTCACGAGCTTGTTCATGGGAATGATTTCACCAAGTGAGGGTAACTCATCTATGATGGAAGTGAATCTTGTGTGCATGTCCTGGATAGATTCATCATCTTTCATCCTAAAGAGCTCATACTCAGTAGTAAGCATATCAATCTTGGATTGCTTTGCTTGAGTGGTTCCCTCATGTGCTGTTTGCAAAGCTTCCCATATCTCTTTGGCGGATTGACAAGCTGAGATCATGTTGTATTCATCAGGTCCTATCCCACACACCAAAATTTTCTTAGCACGAAAATTTTTCTCCACGGCTTTCTTATCTGCATCGGTATATTCCTTCCTGGTCTTTGGCATCGTCAATGGAAGATCTCCGACATTCTTTGTTTGAACAAAAGGACCATCACTTATGACATCCCACAACTCAGAATCTTCAACCATGATGAAATCATGCATTCTCGTCTTCCACCACACATAGTATTTCCCATTAAACTTGGGTGGTCTGTACGTAGATTGACTTTCCTCAAAATTTGGTGGAGTAGCCATATAGATCCTTCCTAGGTGTTATCCTGATAGGAGGAACCCGGTCTAATACCAATTGATAGTTTATATGAGTCCACCAAACTATATAGTACCAGGTCCTCTATGAGTTTTTACTGAGAATACTAATAAAACAGTAAGTAAATAATACAGGGAGTTTTATGTGGAAAAATACCTGCTCAAAGGGTAAAAAACCACGACCTACACTGGTAGGATTTTAACTTCACTACTGAGCAATCTTCAGTTTATCACCTATTGTAACCTAGGAATTAAAATCTTAATCCCTCACTAACTTGTAATACACATATTACAAGCCACTTTTCAATACACCTATTACAAAGACTTCAACTCATGACTAACTCTAGTTATGACACAAACACTAAGGGTTTATTATTTTACAAAAGGGTTCCTAAGCCACGCTTCTAGCTAAGCAAATTAGGAATTACAATGATGAACAAATACAAAGTTACAACTCAACTAAGGACAACAAAATATTGGATCTAGGAACTGGTCCGTAGTAGTGTTTAACTTTGTTCTTGATGCACTTGAGAATTGAATGCTGGAATATCAGATGGCTTGAATGCTTGAAGAAGTTCTCAAGTGTTCAAGTGATGTTTTATTGTAATGCACTTGTTAATACAACTTGGATGACATCACTTGAATGATGTAATTACTTGGTTGGTCAAAGGACAAGTGACCACTGGAAATAGTGCAATGCAGGCAGTCACGTCGCTTTCCAGCTGTACCCAATTGACTTAGTACTGTTGTCAGGGAACCACACGGGTATCAGGTCCTTGTGTTGGTTCTCTATCTCTTGAAGCTATAGCAGTTCACATTTAGCTGGAGTTCGTTGATTGGCAATGTAAACTAAATGTGTCAGGTTCCCTATCTAGTTCTTGACAGTAAGTTTGTTAGATCATCAAAACATAAGGCTAAGACATTGAAAACTCATCATTATTGTACAAGGATTTTCATAGAGGCTTGGTGGTGTAGATTATGAAGATACATATTAACATGTCATGGATGCAATAACATTTCGCTATCTCATTAGTTTTGTTGTCCATGAAAAGCTTAAAATGCATTTAATGGATGTGGTTACAGCCTACCTTGCAAAGTTAATAATGAAATATACATGAAAATTCCTGAAGGATTTAAAATGCATGATGCATATAATTTAAAGTGCCAAAATATATTTTCAATCAAATTGCAAAGATCTTTATATAGTCCAAAGCAATCAGAACAAATGTGGTATAACCACCTTAGTGAGTATTTATTAAAGAAAGATTATATAAATGATCTTATTTGTCCATGTATATTTATAAAGAAAACAACATCGGAGTTTGTTGTACTTTCCGTAACATAAACCTTATTGGAACTCCTACAGAACTCCAAAAGGAAATTGATTATTTAAAGAATGAATTCGAGATGGAGCAAATAAATCAAGAAAATTATGTCTCGGTTTGCAAATTAAACATTTGGCAAATGAGATTTTTGTTCATCAATCTGCCTACACAAACAAGGTATTGGAACGATTTTACATGGATGGATCACATCCGTTAAATACTCTGATGGTTGTTCAATCACTTGATGTGAATAAGAATTCGTTCTGACCTCAAGAAAAGAATGAAGAGCTTCTTGGTCCCGAAGTACCATATCTTAGCAATTGGTGCATTAATGTATCTTGCTAATACTACAAAGCCTAACATAATTTTTTCAGTTAATGTCTTAGCAAGATATAGCTATGTTCTTACAAGGAGATATCAAATGCATATTGTGGTATCTAAAAGGGACTGCCGATGTGGGCTTATTTTATGACAATGATTATAGTCCTGATCTTGTTGGTTATGCAGATGATGGGTATTTATCTAACCCACACAAGGTTCGATCTCAAACAGGCTATGTGTTTACGTGTGGAGGCACTGTCATATCTTGGCGATCAACTAGCAATCAATCGTGGCTACTTCATCTAATCATGCTAAGATAATTGTTATTCATAAAGCAAGCCGAGAATGTGTGTGGTTGAGGTCTATAATACATTTTATTTGAGAAAAATATGATTGAAAATGTGACAAACTACCTACAATTTTGTATAAAGACAATGCAGCATGCATAGCCCAATTGAAAGGAGAATTCATAAAAGGAGATAGGACAAAGCACATTTCACCAAAGTTATTTTTCACATATGATTTTCAAAAGAATGGTGATATCAATGTGCAACAGATTCGTTCAAGTGATAATACAACTGATTTGTTTACCAAATCTCTACCGACATCACCCTTCAAGAAGTTAGTGTACAAGATTGTGAGGTGAAGGCTCAAAGATGTGAATTGATGCTCTCATCAGGGGGAGTTAATACGCATTGTATTCTTTTTTCCCTTATAAGGTTTTGTCCGGCTAGGTTTTCCTTGCAATATTTTTAACGAGGCAACCAAAAGGCGTATTTCTAAACATGTGTACTCATCCTTCACTAGAATTTTGTTCCCACTGATTTTATTTTAGTTAAGGTTTTAACGAATCATATTATTTGTTGAATTGACATTCAAGGAGTGTTATAAATAGAATTGTGTTCTAGGTGAATGTCTATCTTTTAGAGAGTTTGTTACTTTATAGCTAAGTCATTTTCCCCCTATAAGTAGAGGGGTTTTATCCAATTGTAATCTCATCACAAAATCAATATAATTCTCTCTTTTATTGTTTTATTCCAGGTTTTATTTTTTGGAATTTAGCCAATTTATGGACTGTTTTTGCCAAATGTAATATTAGGTCAAATATTTATCAATTCTTATTATATGTTGTCGCCCGATGTTATTTTTTTTTTCCACTGAGTATTTAATATTTGTATGAGAATTTCGATTAATTTGGACTCGTAAATCCCATTAAAGGTAGTAGGAAACGGCGCATGTTGGTCGGCAGTCGACAATTGTGGGGTTACCACCAATTCACCCTTCTCCCTTTACCTAGCAAGGATACCATAATTGACGGTGGTGCGCATGATAAATTCATGTCAAAATTAGTTGAATTTTGTGGAGATTTGAGTGTTCTCTCGTACATCGCTTTTAAACAAACGTTTCTTCTTACTTTTCGTTAACCAATTTTCTTTTTGTTTGGTTGGTATGAAAATGATACTTAGGAGCTGTCCCTATAATAAAGAAGTTAAATTCTATTTTGCTATTAATATTGCTTACGTATCGGACCAATTAATAAAAATGTTGAAAGCGCCTTTAGAGTATAAGACAAATGTTTTAGAGAGTTGTACATATATTCTATGAGTGGCCGATGGAATACAAGGATTAGTCACTTACGACAACTAGGGGTGCTGTTTAAGAAAAATCGAATAAACCAAACTCAAATCAAATCAAATCAAATTAAAACTAAAGTCTAACATGTATTTTGATTGTTATATTTCTTGAAAAAGACAATCACGAATTATTTCTTGTACTTCTTCATCTGGCATGCTAGACTAAGACTGTTCACAAATACATTAATAGACTTGTCCGAGCTACCTCCTTCACTAATTGCTTTCTTAGCCAAGTTCTTCCATTTTCCAGCATTTCTCCTAATCTCATAACTCCTCTTCCCTCCCATTACTTCCTTTAAACAAAACAATAGCTCTTCTCTTCTAACAATCCCAAACTTATCCAACTTAGGCCTCACACCAATTTCCCAAATCTCATCTATAAATTTAGCATCCGTCATTTGATCAGACCATTGTGGCATTGCCACCATTGGCACGCCAAGGCTCAATCCTTCAAGAGTCGAATTCCATCCACAATGAGTCACAAAACAACCAATGGCTTGATTTGCTAGCATTTCTAATTGATTGCACCATGACACAATTAACCCTTTTCCAATTGTGGATTCTATGAATTTTTTTGGCAATTTGCCTTTTTCGGTTTCTCTTACAACCCAAAGGAAATTCATGTTGCTGTCTATTAAAGCATTTGCCATTTCTTCCATTTGTTGTGGTGTGAGTGATACCATGCTGCCAAAAGAAATGTAGATTACTGATTGATTTGGCTTTGTTTTTAGCCATTTGAGACATTCTTCACTAAGTGGTTTCCATAGACTTGCTCCGTACCCTTTGTCACCTTCTATTATGTTATCTAAATAGGATGATGGCACCATTGGTCCAATTAACCTTGCTGGCCAAATATTTGAAACTCCACTTGCTATCTGAAATTTTGCACGCCAAAAAAAAAAAAAAAATTAACATCATAAAATACATTCTTTCCTAATTTTTCACTTCTTTTAAGATTAATTTTCTAAAGCCAAAGGTATTTTTTTTTACCATGGCTTACTTGTTCTTCATCTGTTACTATTTTTTTTTTAAAATCAACGTTTGAACTTGGTAGCATTCGTGTTATTTACATTTAGTGGCCACTTTTGTGGTATTAATTTAAGAAGTTGGTCAATGTTACAAAATTAGACTCATGATCTGAATTTGATTTTTGAATTTTATACTTCAGACAAGATGGCCACTTTCAAATTTCAAACAAGTGGTTTAATTCTGAAAATGCTTTCTAAATACAAGTTCACAAATGTGACAATTTGTACAAATCAGCCTTTCGTGACATTCTTCATCTAGTTTCTAAAATCTACAGAAGTACTTGTACTAATTTTTTATACAGATATCTAGAAGATTTATTACTTTGATCATTGTAAAAGAATTAGGTGTAGAGAATATACGAAAAACTGAATGGCCCCACAAAAGATCATAAAGTAAAAAGGCAATTACTAACATGTAACTAAATGTATGACGCCCCACTCATTAATAAAGTAGTGGTAGGACATATATTTATAGTATACAGTTTTAGAGTCTGTACCAAAAATAATGATCTCTTTCCATATTTGAAAACAGTCTAGTTTTATGCAATAATTTATAATGCACACAAAATATATATACCTTATTTTACACTACAAATTTAAAAGGCTTTATCGCTTCTCTTAAACTACATATTCAATCAAATTGATTTAACATAAATTAAAACAGAAGGAGTATTATTTAAGACGTACCTCTCCTTCTAGTTCTTGAAAGGAGTTATCAAAAACCCAATCAGCATTTTCCAAATTAGAGAATTGACTCATTTTCATGGCTAAGTAAGCAGGGTAACTTTCAGGCTCCCTAATAAATCCAGGAACATCAATTGGGTACAAACTAGGCAATCCAGGCAATAACAATGGCTCATTTTCTTCAATCTTCGCCGGCAATGAAAATGTTTTATAATGAATGTGAGCAAAAACTACACAAACAGTGGCTGAATTTGTAAAAAACGCAGCTCCATAAATCCCATGTTTTTTAGCCACATCAAGAGCCCATGGTAAAAACGAATCATAAACAATGCAACTTATCGGATGTGTCGAATTCTTGTAATTTTTTATTATTTCTGATAGAGTTGTTGAACCATTTTCTTTGAATGATTTGAGATATATATCTGCTTTTTGGGCTTGGGAAAAACCACTTTCGTCAAATCCATCAGAAATTGCTTCAACTGAAATGTTGGGTGAATTAATAGACTTGACTGTGTATTTAGTAGTGGCTAAAGTTGCTTTTACACCTTTGGAGTATAAGCGTTTTGCAAATTGGAGAAGAGGGTTAATGTGACCTTGGCTTGGGTAAGGTACAAATATGACATGAGGCTCATTTCTTTTGCCTACCATTTTGGTTTGTGAGAAAGAACAAAGAAAATGAAACTCTTACAACTTAGTTCTATTGTGAGGTGTGTGTGTTTGAAAGAAAATGAAATGTAAACTAAGATTTATAGGCTGCGATAATATGTTGGCATGAGGTCACTGTTTACATAAGGCTAATGACGTTTGCAAATCACACGTAGTGATTTGGGGCCTAAAAGGGTTGGTATTTATTTTGATTTCGATTGAAGTTATTTTCTGGTCTTACGCAAATTCTAAAAGAGTGAAATAGGGTCCCACCATTCATCAATTTCATGGTATTGGTTCAGCATTTTTGTTAAAATTTCGGCTCCATTTTGCTTCCACTTTTGCATGTCGATAGCCTTACAAATCAACAGAGTGACGGATTATCTAGATCTTACTTCCGTTTAGTCATTAAACACCTGAGTTCTAGCTTTTTAATGTTTAGTTATGGGTGAGTGTTCGGTATTTCGGTACGGTATTCGAAAATTACGGTTCGGTATTTCGGTATTCGATATATCAAGTGTGCATACCAAATACTGTACCAAAGTAGTTCGGTATTGTTCGATATCTTCTTGTTTGGTTCGGTATGGTTTCGATACGGTTCGGCATCGTACCATATTTTTGTGAACTAAACAATGCTGAACCAGAGGCGAATCCAGGATTTAAATTCTATGGGTTCAATTTTAATGTTACCCATTATATTTTTAAAGTTATGGGTTCATATCTACGATTTTTACAATTTTAAAGAATTTTTACATATAAATTTTTACTCTGTGTCGAAAGTTATAGGTTCAGTTGAACCCGTAGGTAATACGCTACATCCGCCTCTGTGCTGAACTACTGAATTCTAATTCATTAGAAAATTTCTAATTGCGTGATAATGAGTATAGCAACAAGAAAATGTGGGCAGTACCTTCACTTCTAATAATTTCTAATAGAAATCACTACATGAGCATAGCAGTAGAATGTGAGTACTTTCTTTATACTTTTCTAATTATAATAATTTCTAATGTTAGGTTGGGGCGTTGGGCTTAATCTTAGTAGGCTACTGGCTAAGGGAAAGAAATAACAAGTTAGAAACTTGGGCTGAAAATTGATAACGGGCTGGGCAGTGAAGGAAGGTGTACTTAAATTATTCGGTATTTCGGTATACCGAAATATCGAAATTTCAATACCGAGGATCGTACCGAAATACCGAATAACTAAAAATCCTATACCGAAATAGTACCGAAATACTGAATAAACCGATATCGAAATACCGAAATAATTCGGTCCGGTTCGGAATTCAGTCTTTCGGCTTTTATGTCTGCCCCTATATTCAGTGTGAGTTGCGTGTTTTATAGGTTCATTATTTAAATTATTATTTTAAAGACCGAACTAAAAGAGATTTGACTTTTAACTGCTTAAGTTGATTTTATTTCAAATTGAGACTTGATGGTATATGCGCACATACTTCTGTCTGACACGTGACAATGAAGTCAAATAAGATATGAGTAAGCAAATAGCTGGCACCGATTACGAATATGTGACCGGTGCTGAGTGAGTTTCAAAAATACTCGAATCGGGGGGAAAACTTGAAAGAAAGATATCGGTTGAGAAAGACAACATTCAATGAGCAACCGTTACAAGAAATATTCGTATTTATTGTTAGCTGTCATAAGAGAGATCTGAGCTAAGAGAAGGAGGGAGAAGAAGAATCTAGAAGAGAGGAAATGAGAGAAGAGCAATTTTCATTTCTGAAAGAGAAGCTATGTTAAACTGTACAGCTGACTAATATTTATAACAAACTCAACTAACTATTAACTAACTCACTAGCTATGGTTTAGCATTTACACTTTATAAATAAACTAGTGGTAACCATGTTGATTAACACTCCCTCTCAAGCTGATGGTTGATACAGATTCTTCAACCCTAGCTTGTTCAGCAAATGTACATGTTGAGCTCTTCACAATCCTTTTGTAAGTATATCTGCCAGTTGATCCTCATGTTGACATACTCAGTTTTTAGCATCCTTAGACTTAGCTTTTCCTTTACAAAGTGACAGTCTATATCAATATGTTTTGTTCTTTCATGGAAGATTGGATTTGCTGCAATTTGGATTGCAGCTTTACTATCACATACCAAGTTTATAGGAAGTTTAACCTTGACACCAAGTTCACTGAACAGTCCTACCGGCCAGGTAACTTCTGCTGCACATGAAGCCATACTTATAAACTCAGCTTCATTAGAGCTCCTAGACACAGTACTCTGCTTCTTAGACTTCCAGGATATAAGAGCACTTTCAAACTTTACCAAGTACCCTGTAACTAACCTTCTAATTTGTATACATGCTCCCCAATCTGAGTCACAAAAAGCACTTAGTTGATCTGAAGATTTTACAGGCAAGAAGAGACCTAAGCCAGGAGCTTCTTTTATGTATCTTACAACTCTCAGTGCTGCTTCCATGTGAGACCTATTAGGACAATGCATATACTGGCTGAGAACTTAAACCACCAAAGCAATGTCAGGCCTTGTCATAGTAAGATACAGCAGTCTTCCAATGAGTCTTTGATAAGCACCAGGATTGTCAAGATTTTCATCTGTTAGGACATTGTCATTTTTGAAGTGATTGTCATACTCTACTGAAGTTAGTTTCTGATTCAATTCTAGTAGTGTTCCAACTGGCTTTGCACCACTTAAACCAGACTCAGAAACGAACTCTAATGCATAATTTCTTTGGCATATAAAAATCCCTCTTTTGGATCTTGCAAACTCAATTCCTAAGAAGAATTTGAGCTCACCTAGATCCTTCATTTTGAATTTCTTCATAAGATTTGATCTAGTACTGCATAATAGTTTCTGACTGTTCCCAGTGATAACAAGGTCATCAACATAGACCAAAATGACAACAATATCATCTCCATCTTTCTTTGTGAACAAAGAATAATCATAATAACTATGTTGAAACCCCATGTTGAGTAGAGCTTCTGTCAGCTTCATATTCCACTGCCTAGGTGCCTGCTTAAGTCCATAGAGTGACTTATGCAGTTTGCAGATCTTCTTAGACTCCCCCTGTCTGGAAAACGCCTCAGGCAACTCCATGTAAACTTCCTTGGTGAGATATCCATTTAGAAAGGCATTGTAAACATCCATCTGGAAGATCATCCACTGTCTTGAAGCAGCTAAAGCAATAACAGATCTAACAGTTACAATCTTGACCACAAGAGAGAAAGTCTCTCCATAGTCCAGTCCTTCCTTCTAGTTGTAGCCTTTGGCTACTAGCCTAGCTTTAAACCTTTCCACTTCACCAGAGGCTTTGTATTTGATTTTGTATACCCACTTGCACCCAATGGGAGTCTTCCCTGGAGGCAAATCAACAACACTCCAAGTTTGATTATCTTCAAGAGCTTCAATTTCCAACTTCATTGCTGCTATCCACTGAGGATCAAATGTAGGTTCTTTGAAGGAAGTTAGTTCTGAGTGAGCTGAATAATCTGCAAGGACCTATTTGTATGATGGAGAAATAGAGGAATAATCTACATAGGAGGATATAAGGTAGGCACAGCTGGAGCCTTTGGAGGTAGTGACATAATCTTGCAGCCAGAAAGGAGGCTTGCTTGGTCTAGAGGACCTTCTTTGTTCAGTAGGAGGCTCAGCAGCTCGTGGAGAAAGTGCAGGCACAGTCTGAGGGACAATAGGAAAGGGATCACTAGTAGGTGGAATCATAGAAGCAGCTTCTTCTGAGTTTGTTGTGGAAGGAGGATCTCTTTGAGATAAATCTGGAGGCATCTAGTCTGAACTGAGGTTAGTAGGAAACTCTATTGCTGGTGATGCAGAAGTATAGGAAGGAATATTGCTTAGAGCAGGAGATAGCAAGTTTGGGACAGGAAATATAGAACTTCCAGTAGTTGTGACATGCTTAAAAGGAAAAACGGAAAAGGGCCAAAACTATCCCCTATCGTTTGCTAAATGGTTTATAAATAGCCTCCGTCCATCTATCCGTTCAAAAAAATACACTCCATCCATCTATCCATTCAAAAAAACACACGAACTTAATTTTATTAACAAAAATACTCCCACGACTAATGGCAGAACTGGTGGGTCTTTCATTTAATGATGTGGCAATTGTTAATTGGTCCACGTGGCATTATTGACAAAGAATCAAATATAGGTCTTATTTTTACCCATTTACCTGGTCCGGCCCTATTTATTTGACCCGCCTAATTATTTTCTTTCTTTTTCTTTGCCTTTTTTTCCTCTTTTTTTCCTTATCACCGAGCATACCCACTCTCATCCACTCTCATCCCACAAAGAATTTTTAGCGTTTCTTTGTTGAAACAAATCTTTCTTTGTGTTTGAAAATATAGCTTTGGCTTTCAATTCATCTGCAATTCATGGCTCTTTGTCCTCCTCTTCTTCTTCTTATGAACATCCCAAAGGTAACCCTTTACTCTCTTTTTTTACCTTTTATAGATTCAATCTTTATCCTAGAATGTGATAATTTCAAGCTTTTTAGCACCTTGGTTTTAATTTTCTTGTGTGCTTGTATCAGTTATATGTAGTTATTTTTTCTCTGTTATTTCGTGGCTCTTTTGTCTTCTTATGAACAATCCAAAGATTTCCATTACTTGTCCCTTTCAAAGTTTCAATATTTCTCCTAGATTTGATTGATATATTTGGACAATTTTTGCATTTGGGCTCAATTTTTTTGTTTAAGATTTTTGGTTTGTTTTGATCCTTGTCTTCTTACTTAACAACCCAAATGTATCTGTTGATTTTCCATTTAAGAGTTTCAATACTTATTCTGAGTTTTATTGGAGAAATTTTAGAATCTGGTTTGAATTTTGGGTTATTTGATTTTGGGTTTATCTATTCTTTAACTAATTTGTTATTGTGTGTATGTGGTGTCCCAATTGGAGAAGAAGAAAGGGGGAGATCAGATGATTGGGAATGGGTGTGATAGATACTACCATTTTTGTAAATGGGTCGGATAAGGTAAATGGGTTGAAATAATATCCATTTTTTATTCCCGCCAAAGATTTTCACGTGGCCCAATTAAAAATCGCCACGTCATTAAATGAAACACCCACCAGTTCTGCCATTAGTCGCGTGGGTATTTTTGTTAATAGAATTAACTTCGTGTGTTTTTTTTGAACGGATAGATAGACGGAGTGTATTTTTTTGAACTGATAGATGGACGGAGGGTATTTATAAATCATTTAGCAAACGATAGGGATTGTTTTGGCATGAATGTCAACATTCTTGTTAACCATGAATGTTTTTGAGTGCAAAGTATACATCAAATAACATTTCTCAGTGGAAGAATATCTTAGAAATACAGCAGGTACTGCTCTAGTGAGAATTTATCTTGTATCTGGGGACAAGTTGCATAACACAAGTAGCCAAAGACTTTGAGATGAGACAATGAAGGGGGATGCAAATAAAGCATCTCAAATGAGGATTTGTATCCAACAACCTTAGAAGGGAGTCTATTGAGCAAATACACTGTAGTAGTAACACATTCTTGTAACGACCCGGCCGACAGTTTTAAAAATTTATGCCCCGATCCACTATTAACTACTTTTTTCGTGTTTATTTCTGCTATTTTGATTCGCCGGGATGTTTGGTTTTGAGTTTCGGAGTGCTTTGGGACACCTAGTCCCCAAATGAGAGCTTAAGCTTTAAAATTTGGATCAAAGTCAGAGCAGTATGGAGACGGCCTCGGAATGGAATTCCGTCGGTTTCTTTAGCTCTGTTGGGTGATTTCGGACTTAGGGGCATGTTCGGATTGTGTTTTGGAGGTTCGTACCTTATTTAGGCTTGAAATACCGAAAATCGAATTTTTGAAGTTTCTGGTTCGATAGTGAGATTTTTGGATATCGGGCGAAATGGGATTTCTAAAGTTTTAGAATCTCCTTAGTGTTGAATGTGACATTCTTGCAAAATTTCAGGTCATTCGGACGAGGTTTGATAGACTTTTTGATCGAAAGCGTAATTTGAGAGTTTTGGAGTTCTTAAACTTGGATTCGTTGTTTAATTGGTGTTTTGATGTTGTTTTGAGCATTATGAAGATTTGAACAAGTTTTAATGATGTTTTAGGATTATTTGGCATATTTGGTTGAGGTCTCGGGGGCCTCAGGTGTGTTTCGGATGCTCAACGGGTCATTTTTGGAACTTAGAAATTGCAGAAAAATGTTGCAGCAGTCAGTTCTAGTTTCCTTCTTCGCGTTCGCGAGTGGGGTCTCGCGTTTGCGAAGAGGAGCTGTGGCTGGTGAGGAATTAATGATTCACATTCACGAAGGAGATCCCGCATTCGCGAGGCTATGGGACCTTGTGCCTACGCATTCGCGAAGGCAGTCTCGGGTTCGCGTAGGAGAAGAGAAATGATCATCGCGTTCGTGGCTCAGGCATCATGTTTGCAAAGAGGGAAACTGGCTAGTGGAACTTTACTGCATCGCATTCGCGACCGTTGTCTCGTGTTCGCGAAGAAGAACGCGCCTGGGCAGAATGTTTAAGCTTAGAATCGAGGGTTTAGCCATTTTTGTGAAAACTAGAGCTTGGGAGCTCGGATTTATAGCTAAAATACTTTCCCAATTTTATTTTGTTTTATTTATTACTTTTTGTCCTTTTCGACCGTTTTTTATATATACTGGAGCATTCCACTTTCCATTTCTAGCGTCTATCAGAAGACATCAAAACTGAAACCTTTTACTCAAACAAGAACACTGTAATGTAATGGCGCCAAAATCTACGTCGAAGAAGGATAAATCTCCACCGTCAGATCCAGATGGAATGTTTTCGGGTATGGTTGTGTTCTTGATCGAAACCGGAGTCCAATCCAGGCGGTTACAGGTTTCAACCGCATAAACTCTTAACCCCTTCTCCTCTTCTAATTTTCCTTTTTTTTTAAAAAAAAAAAAACTTTCAATATTTTGAGTTTGTTTTCTTTTGGGGGTGTAGATATGGAAGCAGAAATTGGTGCAAATGGGGGCTAAAATAGAGGAACGTTTTTCCAAAAATGTTACTCATGTTTTTGCAATTGATGCGAATTCGCTTCTTCAGAAAGTTGATCGAGAACGTCTTACCCGCTCTAAAGCTGTGAGCTTTATTAACTCTTCTGCTCTTTACACTCTTTGGTTGCGTTTTTTAGCTTGCTGCAAATTGAGACTTTTTGTTTTTAATTGTTTTGATTTATAGTTAAAAGGGTCTTAGTCAAGTTGGTAATCTTTACACCAGGACTGGTGTCCAACTGGAGTTTTTAGTTTGTTTAGAGCACTATCAAATTAAGAATATTTGTACCTTTATTGAGTATAAATAGAATTGATATTTTTTATGGCGGTGTGCTCGAGCTAGCTTGCGCAGACCTCGACTATTCCACCAGGCATGAGGAATAGAACATAAGCGACATTTGAGGTTTCATATAGCCATTCAAACTAGTCCGGGATTGATAAGTGGTGACAGCAGTTGTTGTTGTTATTGCAGTTAAATTTATCTTAGTAATTGTCGTAAAAAGATATTGAGGATTCATATGACCACACACAATTGGCTTGGGATTGAGCTGTACAAGTAGTAGTAGTTGTTGTTGTTATAGTTAAGTCTTAGTATTTCTTCCTTATGAATTTCATGTGCCGTGTTAGAACTTTGAAATCATTGGCTTGGGATTGAGCTGTACAAGTAGCAGTAGAAGTTGTTATAGTTAAGTCTCAGTATTTCTTCCTTATCACTTTTATGTGCCGTGTTAGAACTTTCAAATCATTGGCTTGCCACAATGGTTAAGAGGAATTGTTAGGTCAGATACTATTGAGGTATTTCTCTTTAAAAAAGAAAAATCATTGGTGTAGATTGTCTTCTGAGATTGAATTGAACAGTGTTTACTATGCTGCTGACTTTAGCTTTTGCACTCTTGATCTTTATAAGGTTGAGACATTTTAGAATTTCTGGTGATAGCTTGTGTAAATTCACATTTTGCTAATAACAAGTCCAAATTTAATCTTTTTGGATATACCTTCCTCTGTTGGTCTATGGGATTTTAGTCTTATCGTTATTCTTGACTCATTGATTAATTTCTTGGATTCTTCAAATTTTATTGTTTTTCACATATAGGGTTTTTGTTTGTAAAGATTTGTGATCTTTCTTGCTGTTGTCATTCTTATCCTGCTGTGTTAAAGTATTAATCTTTTTGATAAGCTGCTTTATAGTAATACACGTGGTTATTTCAGAGACACTTGAGGATTCTGAAGTTTCTCTATATTACTGCTCACCTTTCAGGAGTGGCTTATAATTTAATCAAAAATCTTCAAATTTCTGAAACCCCTTTATATTCTATGGGCTTTGGTACCTGAACATGTTGTTTTAGACAAAATGACTGAATTGTTTGATTTGCAATATGATGCCTTTCAAATGATTGTTACAACATTTGCTTTTTTCCTAACTATCTTGGTTATGTTTTTCGGATTTCCGTAGAAACTTCTCGCATATCAGTGGCTAGAGGACAGCTTGACAAAAGGAGAGAAAGAATTTGAGGATCTGTATGTCTTGTCCCTGCAATCAGGAGGAGGAGGCTCCCTTAGTCCTAAAGCTGATAATGGAAGTCATCCTAATAGCAGTGAAATTACACCAAAGAAAGGTCGAAGTTCTGCTGAAGATGCCAAGAATGCAAGCCCAAGACACATGATTGACGCTAAAGACCTTGCTGTAGTTGATTCACGAGATACTAAAAGTGCCTCTTCACTCGCAACACGTTCTTCAAGCCCAGAAGTGGCAAGTCCTGAGGTCATTGATTCTCATAATAAGCCTGTTAAGTCCGGCATCAAATTGCCCTTGCTGAATATGTTTTTCTGAGCCAGAGATATATGTGTTCCCATGTGGTGGATTCTCACTGTGATTCATCTATATTTCTATACCATTTGTTGACCAGGTTGGAACATCAGACTCATCTTCACTTTATAAGCCTCCGGATTTAAACCGAAATATCACTCAGATATTTGGGAAGCTCATCAACATATATAGAGGTAGGATATCTTCTAGTATGATCTATTTCTGTAGCTTCTCTCTTGTAAATGCCTTGGAGTTAGAAGTTTGAGCTTTCAAAGTATGATACGATGACTGATAGTTGATTTTAGCACTGGGTGATGACCGGAGATCATTCAGCTATTATAAAGCTATACCAGTTATTGAGAAATTGCCATTCAAAATTGAGAGTGCGAACCAGGTTAAGCACCTACCTGCTATTGGAAAGTCGATGCAAGACCATGTAAGTGAACGCCTTTATTTAAAGCTTTACTGTAAAGATACTTATTTCACACCATTTCAAGTTGCTGTTTACGTGAATGAGGTTACCAAGTTATTGGGCCCTTGTTGGTAAATGAGATTGATATAACAAGCAGAACCAGTTATCCATTAAATCATCACTTTCTTGGTTTTTAATCTCCGGATCATGAATACCTTTGCCTCCCGTTAAAGCTACAGGATAAGAGGATAGTGTTCTTTGACTGCAGATTCAGGAGATAGTCACCACAGGGAAGCTGTCTAAATTGGAACATTTTGAGAAGGATGAAAAGGTGCTGTTATGAGGATCTGTTGTGACAAAACCTCTCTTCTCCTGATCCTTAGTATATTTCCTTTAAAGTACAAATTTACATCAACATTTCCATGACCTCTGTTAATCAAAATGTCTCGAGTAACCTGAACTAAGCAAGCTGAAAAATGGATGCCCTTCTTCTAACATTATCATGATTTTACAGGTAAAAACAATTAGCTTATTTGGAGAGGTTTGGGGTATTGGTCCAGCCACTGCTCTAAAACTTTATGAGAAAGGACACCGAACTCTTGATGACCTTAGAAATGAGGATTCGCTGACTCATTCTCAAAGGTTGGGGTTGAAATATTTTGATGACATTCAATCCAGGATTCCACGGCATGAGGTAGCATATTATTCTTTGCAGTTTTCTCAATCATGACTGCTTACTGGTTCTTCTAAAAAGTGATGACTGATTATGTAGGTTGAAGAGATGGAGCGTCTACTACAGAAAATTGGAGAGGAAATTTTGCCCAGTGTAAGGCTTTTGTCCAATTACTTGTTAAATGTTACCTTCATGTAAATTGGCGGCGTTTCGCCTGCTCCTTGATGATGTACTGTTAATGTACCAATTGCTGGAAATTGCTCATTCCAGTCTTTAAGTGCAAAGAAATGCTTATAAGCTTGAAGGTATTTGAGAATTAGTGGAATGGAGGGCCTCAGACATGGTCCCATTTCCAAAAGGATTGTTGATGCTGGTCAAACTAATAAGCATGAAGACCAAGATTATTAAGAAAAACTAATTGGGTCAAAAGCTATTGTGAATTGTCTTTTACTTGCCAAGTTTACGCCTATTGTTCAAGCTAGACACTTTGTTTACCTATTCCTTTAAAGTCCAAGCACCAGAGCAAGAACACACAACATCCTTTTTTTTTTTTTTTGATAAGTAATGTAGTTTCATTGTAAAACTGCAAAAAAGTAAATGCAGCCTTTACACAGTGAATCCTTTGCTTCAGGTGATTGTTGTGTGTGGAGGATCATATAGACGTGGAAAGTCTTCTTGTGGTGATATGGACATTGTTATTACTCATGCTGATGGTAAAAGGTAAGGTTCACTCGTGATTAATCTCGTAGAACGCCTTCCATTTTCGTTGACTGAGTTCTAATGTGCTGGTTTTACTTCTTGTTTAGGTATACATATCCCAATATAAGGCTTATCTATCGCATAGATTTCCTTTATATAGTTAACTTTTCTCTATGAAATCCAAAGGTAGTTTGACGAATTATTCTATTGGAAGCAAGAAACTGCTTTTGGATTGATTCCTTTCCTCATAAATTAAAGAGAAGGCCTGAAACTTCGTACTCATAATGAAACAACAACAACAACAATAACAAAGCCAGCTTAATCTCATACATGGGGTTTGGGGAGGGTAGTGTGTACGCACCCTTACCCTTACCCTATAAAGGCAGAGAGGCTACCTTACAAAGGTAGAGAGGCTGTTTCCGATAGACCCTCGGCGTGCTCATAATGAAAATGAAATAAATTTCTGTGTGATCCCGTAGTTTTGAAAAGCATATTTTTTGGGGTTTGCTGGTGCGCTTGAATGTTTATGCCTTTCGGTATTTAAATGCTGACACGCTGCAACTTTTTTACCTGCCGTACGTGGGATTTCATTTGATCAAAAACCAGAATCCAGTCCATGTTTCTTTTCACAATTATTCCATTTAAACCTTGCTTTGATATATGATTTAGAGTTTTTCCAGTGCTTGATGCTCTTTTCCACTTTCTCGTTTTTCAAATTTTCTCCATTTATCTTCCGCTTGTAGCCCCACAACCCACCATGTTGCTTGTTTCTGCTTGGCCTGCTTGTGGATTCCCACTGTAAATATTTGTGCTTAGATCCTACAATTTTGTTATAAATCTTATTCTCATGACAACTTCATTTCAGATATGTACTTGAAATGTGATTACTTCGCTTCATTCTTTCAGTCATATAGGCTTTCTTCCTAAGTTTGTAAAACGTCTAAAAGACATGAAGTTTTTGAGAGAAGATCTGGTCTTCAGTGTTCATAGCACAGAGGTAATTACTTATTTTCAGTTTTCAACTTGTCATCTTCATGCTTTCTTACTAGTCACGTTTTTTGCAACCTTTCATTTTGAGCTTGTATGTTTTTTCAAATTGGAGCTTTTAAACTTCCAATATCCCTTTTGGTCTTACTCCCTTTTATTAAAGTTTAAGCGTCTATTTAGGTGCACTCGGGCAGTCTATTTTGTTCTTTTTGCATGGAAGAGTAGACAATATTAACTCCACTTATATGGGTGACCTCGTTAATCCAAATCTTCAGTCATATATCTTGTCAATCCAAAGTTTGGTGCCATGTTTCGTCTTTTGTGCCTTTCTTTTGTCATAGTGGGGACAATTGCGAATTTCAGTAGTCTCAAGCTAAGTGTAGTCCAACTTTTTAGATCTTATTATTATTATCCAGTATGTAGCTGTTGCTAGGGAATTTGACACAGAATGTATGTGATATCACTCATTTGCTTTGTTCTTTCGACACACACTATATAAAGTACGTTCTCTGCTCAAAGAATTTTGTGGGTTCATAGCTATAGTTTTCATGGAGTTCTTTATGAAACTGAAATTAATAGTTTAATACAGTAATAGATAGGGGTCTTTACACAAATAACCGACTGAATTCACTATTTACTTTTCCTAGTCGGTATACATAGATTAAATAATGATTATACATGGTCATACACATTAATACATGAATTACGCATAAAGTATACATTCGCCGGCTATTTTTAGTTTAAGCTGTTGGATGGGCGGCTATTTAGGTTAATTCTTCTAATTGATATAATTCTATCTTCTTTAAATTTTCTTCTTGTCCAAGTGCCAAACTAAAGTAATGTTTCATCTGATGGCAGGGTACAGATTCAGGAGTCGACACATATTTTGGGCTTTGCACCTATCCTGGCCGAGAATTGCGACATCGCATTGACTTTAAGGTATACTGATGAGATGTCATTTGTTTGGTCAAGCAATGATCTTCATTCGTCAGATATTTTTGGTTGCGTACAGATTAAGTGGTAATTTAATTGATGACTAATATGATGAGTATCCTCGTTCCACTATATATTTGGGCAAAATATAAATTTGGCATGTTGGCTGAAGCTAATTGCATTCGCTAGCCAAAAAGTGTATAAATATGTATATAGTACACAAATATACAAACAATATACATGTTGTCGGCGATTATTTTTGGGAGCGGCTAAAATTACACATTTCTCAATATTTTTGGTGCTTTAAAGATGTAGTGGTCAATTTTATTGATGACAAGTATGTGGAGTGTATATCCTCCTCCCAGAACTCGTTTGCAATTATTTTACCAAAAACACTGCCAAATAGAAATCTTTATGATATATGAGATGCAGAGTATCACCGGTCTTCGTTCTCATGAATAAACTGAAAAATAATCAGGAAAGAGTAGCTTGGTTTGAGAATAGCTTTTGTCTCATATTGGTTTGAGTCCTATTAAGTATTAACTGTTGACAATTTTTGGCATACGTCAAGTGCACGATCTGGATCTACTTTTGTTCATTCGATGCTGTTGGAAATAATATGCATGAGACATGAGTAATTCTTATATGTAAAAGTTGCAGCCTCACTTCTGTTGTTAGGTGTATCCAAGGGATATATATGCATTTGGACTGATAGCATGGACTGGTAATGACGTCTTGAATAGGAGGTATGCCCCCTTTTACTCACTACCAAGCGATACCAGGGAGTCTATTTGGATGGTTCTCTATAATATAATTCATCGTCCAATTTCTTTTACAGGCTTAGATTATTAGCAGAGTCCAAGGGCTTCCATTTAGATGATACAGGGCTATTTCCAGCTACTCATGGAGCCGGTGGGAAACGGGTATATAATTTTCTTGGTTGCTGCAATCATAAGTTCCACTTTGTTCCTGTTTTTCTTTTTTCTTCATTCTTCATGTTGGTGTGACTCGACGTCTAATGCACAGACTAAAGGTAGTGCAAGCTTGAAGTTTGATACAGAGAAGCAAGTCTTTGATTTCCTTGGATTTCCTTGGCTCGAACCGAATGAAAGGAACTTGTGAGACCTGCAACGCGAACTTGATCTTCCTGCTACGCCAGTTTTGCTAGCTTTTGGTGATCAACACTGGATACCAAAACTCCAAGGGAGATAAAAGTTGATCAAGCTGAGTTTTGACTTCCATGTCTGAATTGTATGGAACAAAATGTGTGAGATGTAAAGGGTTATGTATCTAGGTGGATCATAGAGCATGTATATATGTAAAGTCTTGTAGAATAGGTAAATCTTTTCAGCCATGGAGCAAAAGCACCTTCCTTTTCTAACCCATGATCACTACTTGAAAGAGCAAAATGCACTGAGGGAATGTTCTTTTTTTCTCTTCTGTTTGTCATCTCCTTTGATAATTTTAACGTATCTTATTTAATCAAGGTCCAACTCTAAAATACCTATGCCTTTATGGAGAAAATAATCCCGTTAGGAAAGCAAAGAACTGAAGAAAGCACAAAAGAAGAAAAGGAAAGAGAACTCCTAAAACAAAAATAAATATATATAAAAAATAATAGTAGTGCGGAGTACCTAATATTTATATAAAGTTTCCTATTTTTTTTTATTTTTTTATTTTGGTTCCTATGTTTCTTTTTGGTTCATTTGCTTTAAAAAATATAAGGAATATGTTCAAGGGAAAAATTACTAGGAACAGAGATAAAAATATCAAAAACAAAAAAGCTAAAACCCAAGTTTAAATTAAGTTTTATCTCTTCACGGTATTTAAAAAAATGTTCAATGTAATGTGAGCTGAGGGATTACAATTGACAACTGCCTACTCAATACTCCTTATTGTAAATTAGCAACTTATACACAATTTTAAACAGGAGTTCACCGTTATATGACATGTACTATATAAACCTTTTTAAATATCTCGATTTTGTCTAAATATTTCTTTCCAGCATTAGTGGATAAGTAAAGATTTTAAACTCTCTCGACTGTTGTTATTTGACAAGATATTTTAGCATAAAAATACTGGAAGTATATATATATATATATATATATATNAGAAGTAAGATGGCTTCGGCTATACCAGTTGTCTCCTCATCCATTCTCATTTCTTCTTCTTCGCCCTCAGTTTATCTTCCATTTTCAACAAGTTCAGTCAGTTGGGTTTCAGCTTCTTCCTCATACACCTCTATTTCCACTTGGGTTTCTTCCAATACCTTAAAATACAGCAAAAGTAGAAACCTCATTTGCAGAGCTGCTGAATACAAATTCCCCGACCCCATTCCTGAGTTTGCTGATTCTGTGAGTTTTCTTCTTCTTCTTCTTCTTCTTTTTATTTACTTATTTATTCATTTGTCTGGATCTTTTATTTGTGGGGGGTTTTAGGAAACGGAGAAGTTCAGGGATCATTTACTGAAGAAACTACCTAAGAAGAAAGATGTCTACGGAGATTCAATTGATGAAATTGTGGGAATCTGCACCGAGGTACTTTCCCTATTTCTTCACCATCCTCTTTTCTTTTATTTTTAGAACAAAAAAACCCGTCCTCATTGCATATATGCTTTGTAATGGTGTACCAAGATTTTTGCTTTGTGGCCACAGAAGTTTAGATGACATAATCCAGTGAGACATAATTTATTAATCAACTAGGCCTCGGTTTAAGTTAAGATAACTATGCCTTTTGAAGCTAACTTAAATTCCAAACCAGTGCATATCATTGTTGCTGTTAGATGATTAACATATCAAGTATAACAGCAATAGGTATTAGCGGCGTTATGCTTCAAACAGATGGACTGTAACTGATGCAAAGTATTTCATATATTGCTTGTGTCCATGAAATAAAACTAGTACCCTGGAGTCCAAAGGGTGACTCCTGATAGACATTATTTGCAATAATGGTGTAGGTATATACCCTCTTCAGCTATTTCATATCCTATTTTATTGTTCGTAATTGGACCTGCATAGAGCCGAAAGAGTACATATAATTCATACAGCCAACTTCAGCTAATCTGGATAGAGATGTAGAAGCCAACTTCAACTAACGTGGGATAGAGATGTAGTTGATACATTGTTTGAACATTATCCCCTACTTTTTTGGACCCTGGAATTAAATCTTCCTTTGAGAACAATAGCCGAAGTAGTGAACCACAATGTGGCACAAGATTTCCCATTTTCACTGATAGTTGGTATAATCTTGTATGCAGCTTTTTCTCCTAAATAACCTTGACCAAGATGCTTTTGCTTGTTGCAACTTTTCAAGTTCGTGTTGTTTGTTTCTTGCTTGAAACTATTGCAAGATCTGGAAAGTGTGTTGAAATACGTTTGCTCAAATGATACTTTGAAACAGATTCTCAACGATTTCTTGCATGCCGAGTATGGTGGTCCAGGAACACTCATGGTCGTTCCATTCATTGATATGGCAGATACTATAAACGAGAGAGGTTTACCAGGAGGACCGCAGGCTGCACGTGCTGCAGTCAAATGGGCTCAAACTCACGTAGACAATGATTGGAAGGAATGGAATAGTGGCAAGAGTGGCAAGAGCAGATAAATCAACAATCGAGATTGGGAGCTATTAGTTTTGATGCACGCTGTAGTCACCATATCTATTTGTAGTTCTGACATGGTGGGAGAGTGAACTTATTTACCCTTGATTGCAATAGTCCATGATAGAGAATAGGATTTAGAAGTTTAGGATCTTATAAATGAATCAAGTTTTCTCTTTCTCATTATTTGAGGTTGGTTCAGGTGTTAAATGCTATCTACTATGTGCATGCTCTGTGAGTGTCATGTTATGATGTACAATGTTAAAACTCCATTCATTGCTACTCTTCAGATGCTCAACATCCAAACATTAGCTGTTATACTAAGAGGAGATTACTCAGTTTTCAAGGAGCCCTACTTGACACAAAGCTGACATACAACAGGAATAGTTACTCCCATATTATCTGGAACCTATTATCAGCCTGGATATTTAACTTAGAGTGGTGCAACAGAAAAAGCCAACTCCGCCATTATTTATAAGGAATCTCCTCCAACCGCATGTGGATGAGAAGTTTAACGAGCAGAATGTGATTACTATCGAACTTGCGTGCTGACATAAAAGGTACTCAATGGCTGAGCAAAGAAATGCTTCTTTGGTGCAGAAGAATGACAATACAAATAAATGACATAAGATGAAATAAACGAAAAGGTCAACACTCTGCACTGCAAAAGATATTACTGTCAAACTTGGTTAAGCGCTTGAAAACCACAAGGTTCAATGTACAAACGAACACCGGTACTAAGCCAACGTACCAAAGTATCTATTATGAAGAAAACTTGCGGAACTAACTCGACAGTCGATTTTCTTTATCTCAAACGTGGTGTATTTTCACCAATGACAAAATGACAGCTGTTAGCTTTTTCATTCTTATCAAAATGAAAGCATTCCCAATGCTCCACACTCATGCATATATCTAGCGTATTAAGATGTACACTATGGATGAACTACGTATTTACAACTCCAATATTTGGGCAGGCCAAAAGAATGTCAATTGAAACTTCCTTATGACAAGACGACCACTCTCCGACCCATTGAAGCAGCACTTCACAAAACTGATCGGCTACGTTCCAGCAACTCTTCCCTATCAATGAAGCGGTAAAGCAAGTATTGATCCCAGAGGACTAAACAGTCATCACCCTTCCCGAACCAGTTATACCGCTTCTTGGCAACATGATCGTAAACAGCATCCCTTAAAGGAGTAGGTATAATCATGAGGGTGCTCAGTGCAGAGTAAGGTAATGGCAGGTGAGCTAGAACCCTCAGTGCAGCTGCAGCAAAAATCGGATACATTAGACTGGTGATCTCCACAGCTTCATCACAGAAATTTTGGAAATATAGGCTAATGAATAAACCGGACCATTCTAACTATAGTCAAACACCAAAGCAACATATTTCTTGATTGTGCAAGAATAGAGAGGATCTGCAGAAAAGCTGCTACGCAGACTGGATTTTCACATACAGAAAGCAAGCAGCCTACGAGGCTCAGTATTCCACTTTCAATGGACCAAGGTTACTTTTTCATTGTGGAGCATCAAATAGATTAAATATAAGATAAGACGCCAATCTAGCCGATAGTTAAATCCCTTGAGATTTGATTAGTATAAGTTCAAAGTGTTTTTCACTCAATTTATGATTGCTAAAACGGAGAAGGGCCAAATATATCCCTCTACTTTCATAAATTGTTTAATTATATACTCCGTTATACTATCCGTCTCTTAAAGCCCCTACCGTTATACTTTGGGCCCAGATATATCCTTATTTTGGATGGAATGACAAGTGTCACTACCAGATTAAATTGACCCGTCCTTTAAAAAATCCACTTTTAAAAAAATCCACTACCCGACCCAAAAGTCCACCCCACTGCTCTTCTCTCTCCTCTTTTCCTCCTTCTCCCTTGCGTGACCATGGCTGGAATCTCCATAGTGACTGTCGAAACAGAATAAGATTTTCCAGCATATCTTAGATTTTATGTACTAAGAACTTGTGTCTTCTAAAGCAGATAGAATATCAGAAGGAAGTCATACATTTTCTTGCCTCTGAAATTGTTTCTTGATATATATCATATAAAGGATCGTGTGAAAGCATAATAAATTTGAAACATCTTCATGTTTCTTGAATTTTACTGGTGGTCCATTTCCCAATAGTTTGGTTGAATCATAAGAATAGGATGATCACTTTTGAATCAGTTTGTTTAAAAGGATTTCACTTGATAACCTCACCCAAGTTCTGAAAGTTAGAGATCTGAAAGTTTCGAGTACATTGCTTGTCGGAAAAATTTATTTTTGGTTAGATTCACCAAAATCTGGAATCAAAATTTTCAGATCTCCAACCTCTTGTATGTATTTTTCCAGATCTGTATGTAAATGTGTTTGTAGGTATAGAGAAAGGGAAAGAGAAGGTGCGAGGCGACAACTTTGAAGGTTCTCCATGGTTTCCGACAAGTTCGCCGGTGGATATTCCGGCCATGGTTACAACAGTGAGGTGACGGAGAAAGACAGGAGGAAAAGAGGAGAGAGAAGAGCAGTGGGGTGGACTTTTGGGTCGGATAGTGAATTTTTTTAAAAGTGTATCCGGTTAAAAGAAAAAGGACGGGTCAATTTAATCTGGTAGTGACACGTGTCATTCCGTCCAAAATAAGGACATATCTGATCCAAAGTAGAACGGTAGGGGCTTTAAGAGGCGGATAGTATAACGGAGTATATAATTAAACAATTTATGAAAGTAGAGGGATATATTTGGCCCTTNAACCATCTAAATCAGACGTGGATTCATATTCCAAGATATCAAATCACTAGCTATCAATTCTAACACATTTAAGTCTTCTATTATGAGAAAAGGAATGTATGCAGCAG